AAATGGAGTTTTAAATGCTAAGATAATAATGGTGGAAAGCTTATGCTTCAAACAACAGTCAGTCAACTGAGGGGTGGGCAAGATTTAATTCACCGCCCAAATTTTTCACAAATGAAGACAAAGAAGGCTCACAAACGAAGTTTGGCCACTGGAAAATTCCTATGCACATGTCTGATAGGAAGTAATGACTGATATTGCTTTGGTAAATATTCTAATACAGTGCAATAATATATTGTTGAATCCTGGATAATCGTGGTAATCTGTTCTATTTGCGATAAGTATATCAGAGGACTCAGGTGAATGCACAATGCTTGATATGTAACTTATATATATCCACCTTGGAGTCTAAACATTGTTAATTGTGTTCTGTTGCTGCACCATCTTCATGCGATTCTACTGGTAGTACCTTCCCATTATTACCTGTCCTAGCCAATTTAGTCAAAACCTGTGGCCCTAAGATTATCAACTAACTAAGAAAATTAACGAGTTGCAGTTGATTTGTTCCAAAATATTTCCAGGTCCCAAGTTACAGAAAGACTTGTTTTACATTTTGGTATGTGTTTGCCAGAATCCTATTGCTCTCATCTGTTACATCTCTGAAATGTATATTCGAATAGAAATCGCTCCTAAAGATCGGTCATATCAACATTTCCTGTAGCATTTGTCAGATGAAAATAAGAGCCTGGAAGAGTGTGAGTTCAACTGTGTGGTGTTTGGAGTAAATTCTTCACCATTTCAAGCTCAGTTCGAAGTATAGTAACATGCAAAATCGTTAGAAGAGATCTATCCAATGGCCGCTAAGACCATTCTAGATTCGACTTACATGGATGATAGTATGGATTCCGTTTCAACAGATGCCTAAGGTATCGAGCTATATCATCAGCTAAGTAGACTGTACGAAAAAGCTAACATATATCCGCGTAAGTGGCTATTGAACTCCACCATGGTATTGGAATAGATTCCAGAAGAAAAATTACCTATGAATGTTCTTTTGAACAAATCGGTCAGTTTACCAACTGTTAAAACTCTTGGACTCCAGTGGTTAGCTGATGTGGACTCATTCACTTTTAACGCAAAATTCTTCAAGAATGATCTTCCACCAAAGAAATGTAATTTCCTGAAAAAAATGCCTTGTTATTTGATCCAATGGGATTTCTTGCGCCATTCGTTAATCAAGGCAAGATAATCCTCCAAGAGATATGGATGCGGGGATTTGAATTGGATGAAGAAGTGGACAACAACTTACTTGCGAAAGCACGAGCATGGTTAAAAGAATTGGACAACATAGAGGATATTCATGCACCAAGATGTCTAGGTCTTACCTAAGAAGAAGTTATTTCCTTTATTTTACAAACCTTCGCCTCCGCCTCCAAGATGCGTATGGAGCGGTGGTTTATGGAAAATATGTCTATCATAGTGGAAAACAATTGTGTTGTCTCATCGCAGCAAAGACCAGAGTCGCCCCTCTAAAAGCAATAAGCACTCCACGCCTTGAGTTGATGGAAGCAATATTTGGTGCCAGGTTGACAGCGTCTATTACTAACCTGCTTACAGAAAAACCTGGTCAGACTGTTTATTGGTCAGACAGTATGAACGTTCTTTGCTGTATTCGCAATCCAAGCAGAAATTACAAGGTGCTTGATGCAAATCGCATGGCCGAAATTCAAACATCTTCCAATCCAAATCAGTGGCAACACATCCCTTTTAAAGAGAATCCAGCAGACCTGCTTTCAAGAAGAGTATCAGCATCCATGAATTCATGGTGGCATGGTCCTTGTTTTCTAGAAAAAAATTAATCTCTGTGGCCCTCCAATCAAATTCCAGTTGAAGGAACTGTAAAATGAAAAGAATCTGATGCAAGTAAAGTAATTCTAGAGAGAGTGATGAAGGCTGTTAGGAAACATTGGCCTTAGGGAGAATTATTGATGTTAATCCAGGAAAAGACGGCCATATACATATTGTCAAGGTGAAGGTTGGTAAGACAGTGTTGACCAGACCAATCACAAAAATTTGCCCTTTAGAATTGTAACTTTAAATATTATGTTGTGTGGTGTTGATCTTCCCCTTAGCTGCCAAACTCTTTGCTTTAAAGCATATGGACTTTATCTTTTTTTCTAAAAGTGGTCTAGCCTTCGGCTGAAAAGGATCAGTAATGCTACTCAAAATCTTTGGGTCATCTTCAACATCGGATTCACTCACTACTTCCTGCTCACTTCCCTGATTAATCATCATTATATATAATACTTCAGACTGATTGCCATTGGAACTGTTACTAACACATAAAATATAATGCCTAAGAAACGAAGAACGACCATCATTCCTTTCATAGCTGGTATCTGCACAGACTACAGAGTTGGGCATTGCTCTTTGTGTGTGCTGCTACAACGCTGTAGAATCTATCAACAACCACTGACTGCAAGTGCCACATCCAAGGAAATGCGTTCTTTTCCAAGAGAGTGGAAAATTTCTTTATTGATGTAAAAAGATGCAAAAAGATTTTCCTCGGGCAACTTTGCCTTGACAGAAATTCTGGATATAAACTCCAGGCTGAACCACTGATCCAAGAATTGATCATCAACAACAGATAAAGACAACAAATTACTCTTTTGAAACTCTTAAATAATATTGCCCTTCAATGTCCACAAACAAGTCAACGCAGTTCCCCAATCCAAACCAACTCTTTTCTCCAATGTGACCTTAAATCTCTTGAAGACAATATCACTATCATGATGGAAAAGCAGCAAAGTGTCATCTTTATCAACGAGAGCACAAACATGAGGAAGGTTGCAGCGGCTTCAAAGAAATTATTGAACTAATTAGCATCATTAGTTTCCCATTCTGTCCTATATTCTCTTTTGGCAACCGGCTTGCCATTCTCAACGTTAAAATCACAAAGATGTCTGTAAGCCTTTTGAAGATCGAAAATTTTATAAAGATCCTTTACAGCATCAGAAATAGCAATGGTATATTTAGATTGCATTGCTGAATTAAGTTTGCTGAATTAAGTTTGGCAGAAATGAGCTAGATTGTCAACGCAATCTTCCCATACGAGCTTAGGTACGAGCTTCCCATATGCATGTTGTCTTCTTTCTATTTCTTATTTCACTAGTGTCACCAGTAACTAACCAGCCTAATTCCAATGGAACACCCTGACAGATTTAAACATTAAAAGATAAAGCATGCTACAGTAGGTTATATGGATTTAGCATCTAGTAGCAAAATAACGTGTAAAATACCTTAAAGATGCCTGGCTTCTGCTATTCCTCCTCCTTAATGTTTAATCTTCCTGCATGAATTGATTGCCAATGATCTTAGCTATGAGAGAATCAAACATGATGGCTGGGCACCTTTCTTAACTTTCCCCAACCCCAGTTTGCATGTCTTCAAAACTTCTGTGACACGAGAGAACCATGAAATCATTTTCCCTGGTCGTAATTTAACGGTTTTGGCTCGAAACATCATCGAAACAATTATGAAATCCTCTCCATGTACCTATATTAACATGTTACAATTTATGTTACATAAATGTATGTTTATACTTCATATTATAATATATTACTAGTTCTAGAGCTAAAAATATTTTTTTACCTGATATTTGGTTTCTTCATCATCATCATTATTATCCTACATCTACTATATGCTTCTATGAGTGCTTCATAACTTTGGTAAATTTTCTGCCACTGATCAAAGGAGGAATTGAAATATCTTGTTGAGAATGTCACTGTCTCCAGTCCTTTTAGATCCAACGAACTAGACAACCCTGTATATTCGACATGACCTTGACCACGGCTAAACATTGTATGAAACCTATTTGCTCTTTTGATCAATCATTTGAGTAATGATGAGGGAGTGGAATCCTCTTCATGCAAATCTGTCATAGCTAGCTTGGAAAAAAATCTTCCGATGCCTCTGTCCTTCCTAGCTGGGCAACCAAGGCTTCTTTAAAGGTGTTGGATTGATAATGTCCATCCGCAGAATGCTAACAATTTGCCTGGCAAGATCATATCCAGTGCCCCCTTCAATACTGTTAGTGACTTGATCAACTGTGTACACAGAAGGAGCATCAAGTGGCATTGCAATTCGTTTTCCTTCCACTGGCAAAAGAACTAGAACTGCATGGTTAGTATCACGATGAGGCATTGATTTATCCACAGCTATGGATATGTGGGGAGGAAGCGATGTGCACTCTACAATCTACAGGCTAAATAATGTTAGGGTCAGAACAGAAAAGAACTTTAGTAATAAAACTTATCCTACCATCCATATCCAATGTTTCGGACATTAATCTCACAAAGAGAAAGAAATCCAATTATCCTCTCATATGACATTCCAGCAGCTTATTTTTTTTTTGTTTTGTCGGGATTCGCTTTAGCCGGCATATAAATCACGTTTTGTTTAGTTTAAATTCACTTTATTTCTGATCACACGCTCACGTTTTTTCCTTCCTCCCATAATTCCATGCCAACTACAAAACTACCAAATATCAACCAAAAGATTACTAGATATGCCAAACTCGCGACACTCTCCCCCTATTTTATACTGTAAGTATTAAATATTATATTCCGTAACGTAAACCTTATCAACTAGAAGTTTATGAATAAATTTACTGTATGGTTCAAGTAGTTAGTTCCTCTTGATTTGCAATCTCTTTTATTCGTTCTCTCGCAACTACGGCTGCTTTTCTAGGAGCAAATTCTCTTGCTCTGGGATTAAGTTCTGCACCTTTCTTTGTATTTTGTGGTATATCACAGGATAATTCCATTGGACATAACTGCTGCACCGCTCTTTCAATAAATGACTTTCCAGCTCTTAGCCTCACTGCACGAACGACGCCGTCTCTCCCTTTAATCAACTTCACTACCACACCTATATTCCATTTTCCTCTATTCCGCTCATCTTATGTTATTAATACCACATCTCCAGGTTTGATAGAAAGTTGCTTGGTCTTATGGTTAAGGTTATGTCTCTCTCTCAAGCCTTTCATGTACTCTCCAGACCATCTACAATGCATTCTTGCACCGCCTTAGATATCTTGCTCTCTTTCTCAGGTTATTATCTTCGATCGATTCGGTATCTTCCTCCGGCAATAGATTCGACTGTTCGAACATCATTGAATTTGGGGTAAGAACGGGTAACTGAATGTCATCTTCGACGTATGACAATGGGCGATTATTTAGTGCGATTTCGACATCGAGTAACAATTCTTCGAATTCGTTCCAGGTTAATTTAGCACGTCCGCTGGACTTATACAAGGCTCGTTTCACTAGCCCCACTAGTCTCTCAAATTGTCCTCCCCACCAGGGAGCTCTGCTCAAATTAAATTGCCATGCTATGTACTGGTGGGCGAGGTAATTTTGAAGCTGCTCGTCCTTCATAATCGCTCTGAGCCACTTCGCTGCAGCTACAAACCCTTTGGCGTTGTCGGAATAGATCTTAGCAGGTCTACCGTGTCTCGCTACAAACCGCTTTAAACTTCTGATGAACCCCTCAGTCGTTTGATCTTTCAAAAGCTCGAGATGATGGCTCGGGTAAGACTACACGCGAACAACAGGATATGTGCTTTGCCATGTTTTGTCGAACTGATCTTGTATTCCATTGGCCCCGCATAATCGACACCGATTACTTGGAAAGGGGTTGAACCAATGGTCCGGTCTGTTGGTAGATTCCCAGGTGGTGGACTGTGGAACGCAGTGGCACGGAATTTCTTGCACCCAAAGCACTTGTTGATAACTTTCTTTGTTAACTGCCTTAATCGTGGGATCCAATAGTCACGTCTAACCAAAGTCATTGTGAGGCCAACTCCCCCGTGCAGAGTCAAGATGTGGGCGTCCTCAACGATCTTCCTAGATAACCTTGCTGCAGGTGGTAAATATAGAGGGAATTCTCCTTGAATGCGACCACGGCACTCGTACAACCCAGCTGGGTTCAGCTGTAGGTTCAGTTTTAACTTATCCTCTTGAAACTCCTCTGTACTGCTGGCGCTGTCTTGGGTTCGTTTGATCCACCACTCAACTTGTTGATGTATATCTTTAGTTGTCAAAGGACCAGTAACTCTAGCTAGTTTCTTCAACTTACAGTTCGTTAAGAACCTTCTAATCCAAGCCATGATACGGACTGCAGACCAAAAACGATGTTCCGACAATAACTTTTCGAACTCATCATTTATCTCTATGGCTGCTGCGAATAATTCTCGGCTCAGTTTCGCTTCTTCGGCAGTCTCTTTGCTTGCCGTAGGAACAATCAACTCCGGCCACTGGTTGGGGTATGGTAGCCATACTGGTCCGTTTAACCAAATCTTAGGGAGATTGCTTCCAAGGCACCCTCTGCTTCCGACGTCAGCTGGATTCTGGTCAGTGGTTACATGTCTCCACTCGATGAACTCCTTCTCGTTTATCTTACGCACTCTGTTAGCCACGAACTGTTTATAAGTTCCACCCCCTTTTATCCAATACAGGGCCACGGTGCTATCTAGCCATCCTGTAACAGACCTCACCGGTTGACCCTCAAGGGCATTCTTTGTATTCTCCGCCAGGTTTGCCGCCATGTGCGCTGAAACAAGCTCTAGCCTCGGATAGACAAGCCTTTCTTCGCTAAACGAGACTTCGCGGTGAGTAGACCCAGGCTAACTCCTGACTCTTGATGAACAACCGCATGAACTGCTGCGGACGTCCCAACTCCACTTGTGTCTCCAAAAACATGTAGATCTATCGCTTTAGTCGGTTCTTGGACTGTTGTGATACTTCGTGGTACCTCCACTCTCTCAGGTAAGCTGTTCTCGAATTTGCACCACTGATCCGCAATGCTTTCCGACACTTTCGCGTCCCAGGGTATATGTTGGTCACAAACTTGCCGATACATCAGCTTTCCTGTAAGTGTTGTGGGTGTCGCTAACCCCAGTGGGTCATATATCGAAGCTAAGAATCGTAACATTTCTCTCTTGGTCGTTTCAAAAATTGGTTGTGGAAAAGTAACAGATAAAGTGTCATCGTTTTTATTCCACGGCAATCCCAGCATTTTGGTTTCTCCTGCTTTGACTCCTAGCTGATCCTTCGCGTAACTCTGCTTCTCATCACCAAGTTCACTGTTCGCTTCTAACACGGACTCATTTGAGTGCCACTTGTGCAACTCAAACTTGGCTTCTTCGAATATTGCTACAGTGTTCTCCTTGAGATCAAGCACTTCGTGTTTTGTGTCTCCCCCCGTGATGACATCATCAACGTATAGACTTTTTCCAATTTCTGCGACTTCATTTGGATATCGTTCCTTTAAACTTTCTAGATGTTGTTTCAGCGTTGCTCCGAGTAGAAACGGTGACTGTACTAACCCAAACAGAGCTCTGGTGAATCTGAGAACTTCTATCTCTGATGTTTTCTCCTTGACCCAGTGGAATCTTAAGACATCTCGATGCTCTGGTCGGATTCTGATCTGGAGAAACGCCTTTTTGAGGTCACCGGCTAATGCAACAGGTTTCAACCGATTTCTCACCAACACATCCCAGAGGATATTTTGCAAGGGCGGCCCTGTCTCTAAACAGTCGTTCAGTGATTGACATTTGTCATTGGCTTTAGCTGACGCATCAAACACGATACGTGTTTTGGTGGATTCTGCTGACTGCCTTATGACAGGCTTATGCGAAGGTAGAATTCTTCCCCGACTGGATCACTGGTTACTCGTTCAACAACACCCTCAGCAATTTGATTTTGAATGATCTCATCATATTCATTCATAAGGTTGGGATCTCTTCGCAGTTTCTTGACTAAATTGTCTAATCGTTTTAAACTGCCATGTTCATTACTCGGAAGGGGACCATGACCCTGTTTCCAAATCAATCCCGTCTCATACCACCCCTCCTCGCTTCGTCTAAGCTGCTCTTTGAAATCATCATACACTAACTGCTGGTCACCTTGTGCTCGATCTTCCAAACCCAGAACATCCAAATTACACAACTGTTCGTAGTCTCCAAACGATGTTCTGGTAAGGTAGGTATTGCTAAGATTCATTTCTTTTCCTGGGGACATCAACGACCAACCAAGTGCTGTCAATTCTGCAACCGGCTCACCAGGATTTCCAATCTTGGGCTTCGTGTCTGTCTTTATGCGAGAGTACTCACTGGCACCCAGGATTAAATGGATTGGTAAAACAGGTTTGCTATCGTTATCATCCATCACCACTCCTTCTAGATGAGGATACTGGTTGATTTTTTCTGCATAACTTGGATTTGGAACTGCCAAGAGAACTCCCTTATCCACTCTACTGACTTCTGCTTCCATGGCAAATTTCCCTGTGACGCTAGAAACATTCACATTATACACTTCGATCTTCTGTACTGTTGAACACATCATCATATCAATTTGTTTATGGTCAGTCCGCGTTGGTCGTTTTGAAAGCCGATCTATAAGAGCTGCGGAAGCATAAGAGCTTCCCGAACCGGTATCAAGCAATGCTCTGACCTTAATTTCATCGACAAGAACCACAACTACTGGATAAATTACTTCACCTTTGACTGAAGCTACCATCATCTGCTCCGTCCCTTTGTTACATATAGATGTGTGATGCCTTTCGCTACATTTTTGGCAAACAGTTTTACTGCGGCACTCTGATGCCCGATGTCTTGTCCCAGTAGAGTTGAAGCATAACTTTTTCGAGCTTAACACCTTTCTCCTCTCAGCTACGCTAGTTACAGTTTTACAGTCAACTGATTTGTGCTGTGTAGACTCACAATAAACACATGGTCTTGGTTTCCATTCACCCTGGTTTGCTTGAAATGATTTATCTTTGGGTAGTTTCGACTTGTATTTTTGATCTTCTGGACCAACCGGGTTACGCTCACACCACTTTCTCAGAGCTTCAATCATTTGACTAAAACCCCAGTCCTGCCAATCGTCGTCTAGCCGTACCAGGTCAGCTCTAATATCAGGTAATTTATCGAGAGTTGCACGAACATAGCCATTAATTTCTCTAATCTTTCCAAGGGTTTCCAATGCCTGAACATTTGTCACCAGGGTCCCATAAAATTCATGTATCCTACCAGGCTGAGAACCCCGCACTGTTTGCAAGGACATAATCTGTTGTACATGAGCATTCGACACTTTGCTTGGTTTTCCATATTTTGTTTTGAGTATATTTTTAGCTCGCTCATAGCCTTCGGATGTAAAAGGAAGACCATCTATACTCGCTCTCACTTTAAGGACTAGAAGCTCTTTTAGGTATGAAAATTTTCCCACCTGTGTTATTTCAGATTTGTCGATTTCCGTTTCGAATTGACTCCAAAATCGTTGCCAATCTAATGGTGTGCCTTGAAACTTGCTTATAACTAACTTGGGTAACTTGACTTTGTTAATGTTTCCTTGGCATGATTTACTTTTGTCCATAAGTTTTTTCTCATACCCATGTTTCATTTGCATTTTTGCTTCCTCGAGTTTTAATTCTTCTTCAAACCGCTGTCTTCGTGTGTTTTCTTCTCTCCATTCATCCTCTTCCATAGCTTTCGCCTTTAACATTTCAACATCACCATGTAACCCCGCCATAGCTTCCTCATACTTCGCAATCTTTCCTTCGATCTCAAGTGTCCATTGTGTAACATCTTCTGGATTTTCACCTTGCTCGATTTTCGCTGTTTGTACTAAGACTTTTTGCTGTGAATATTGTCGATTAACTCGCTAAATACTTTCTCTTGTCGCTCTAAACAATTTAGTTCTTGTTTCTCTTGTATTCTCAGGGTATCACTTCGCGTAAATTCAAGCATACGCAGCTTCGCTTCGATCTTGTTTAACATTTGTTTTACGTCCGCCATCTTGAATTTATAATTTTCGTGTCAATAAAATAAACATACAAATACCGATACATTTCACTCTAAAATACGTTCTCCAGATAGTTCTTGTTTATAAAATCCTGTTCAGGGGTCGCCACTTATGTCGGGATTCGCTTTACCCAGCATATAAATCACGTTTTGTTTAGTTTAAATTCACTTTATTTCTGATCACACGCTCACGTTTTTTCCTTCCTCCCATAATTCCATGCCAACTACAAAACTACCAAATATCAACCAAAAGATTACTAGATATGCCAAACTCGCGACAGTTTTATCTTTTTTGTAATCATGGCCTTCACCCCAGGAACTGTTGCAAGTGGTTTGACTTTGTTAAAAAAATGAGAACTTTCAAAAATTATTCAGATTTCTTTTGGTCAAGTTAGTTTTTCTATTGTTTCTCTATGCCACATCTATTTTTTTTTAACTACATGGTATATACATATGCCTTTTTGGGTGCATCTATGTTGCATTAGGTATAATTCTACTTTAAATACATACATTTTTCTTTTTGGTTTGGATTTCTGAAACTGCTAACAAGAATAGCATTTAACAATGGAACCATCCTCCAAGTTTGCACAACAATATCTGGGTGTTTAAGTGTAAAAGATTGGATGCAGACATTACCCCTGTTACGTCCTCATTAACATGAACTTTCTCACTCAAGGGTCTTAGGTTTTTCTGGAATGGTCATTGATTCAAGCATGAAAATAACACAGTTCATGTCACTTTGCAGATGCTCCACATCTGACTTGGCTGCATTGGTTCATTTTGGTGTGCAGGTTTAACATCAGGAGGCTCATGATCATCTCTAATTTTTTTGCTGGGTTCAGTGTGTTGTTGATCATCCCTTTTTTAATTGCATATAAGAAATTTTTTAGCCTTTTCATGAGTTTTTGGAATAGTGAATTTTGCATAGTTCTTATTTGGCTTATCTTGGTGTTTTTGTTCCCAATGCTGTTTCATGTTGTAGTTACGCCCTCTTGATACTTCACACCCACAATCAAGGCAAATATGTGACTCGGCTTTTTCCTCAGACTGGCTTTCAGCCTTTTCCTTAGACTGGCTTTCAGCCTCAGATGGAACTTAATTTTTTAAATTTTTTTGGCAACTGGTTGTTTGTCACTGAAAGGTGCCTTTCTTTTGAAAGCTGCCAAAGATAAGGTTTCAAATTGCTGAAAATTGTTAGAAATTTGAAAACTAGGGTCCGTTTTCCACAAATAAAACAAATTGTTATACAACTTTGTGTTGTATATCAGTAAATACACCCTAAATTGGTGAAAATTGTTAGAAATTTGAGAACAAGGGTCCATTTTCCACACAATAACACAAACATTATACAACTTTGTGTGGTATATCCGTAAATACACCCTAAATTGCTGAAAATTGTTTGAAATTTAATTACTGGGGTCCATTTTCCACACAATAACCCAAATACTATACAACTTTGTGTTATATATCAGTAAATACACCCCAAATTGCTAAAAATGCTTAAAAATTTGATAACTAGGGTCCGTTTTCCACACAATAACACAAATATTATACAACTTTGTGTGGTATATCAGTAAATACACCCCAATTGCTGAAAAATGTTAGAAATTTGATAACTAGGGTCGGTTTTCCCCACAATAACACAAATATTATAAGACTTTGTGTTGTATATCAGTAAATACACCCCAAATTGCTGACAGTTGTTAGAAATTTGAGAACTAGGGTCCGTTTTCGACACAATAACACAAGTATTATACAACTTTGTGTTGTGTATCAGTAAATACACCCTAAATTGCTGAAAATTTTTTGAAATTTATAACTAGGGTCCGTTTTCCACACAATAACACAAATATTATACAACTTTGTGTTGTATATCAGTAAATACACACCTAAATTGCTGAAAATTGTTTTAAATTTGATAACTAGGGTCCGTTTTCCACACACCAACACAAATATTACACAACCTTGCGTGGTATATCAGTAAATACACCCCAAATCGCTGAGAATTGTTAGAAATTTGAAAACTAGGGTTGGTTTTCCACACAATAACACAGATATTATAACATTTGGTGTTGTATTACAGTAAATACACCCCAAATTGCTAAGAATTGTTAGAAATTTGAAAACTAGGGTCTATTTTCCACTAACACAAATATTATAACAGTTTGTGTGGTATATTAGTAAATACACCCCAAAATTGTTAGAAATTTGAAAACTACAGTCCCCATTTCCAGAGAAGAACACAAATACTATAACACTTTGTGTTGTATATCAGTAAATACACCCTAAGTTGCTGAAAATTGTTAGAAATTTGAAAACTAAGGTCCATTTTCCACATTATAACACAAACATAATACAACTTTGTGTGGTACATCAGTAAATACACCCCAAATTGCTGAAAATTGTTAGAAATGTGAAAACTAGGGTTAATTTTCCCCACAATAACACAAACATTATACAACCTTGTGTCCTATATCACCAAATACACCCCAAATTTCTGACAGTTGTTAGAAATTTGAAAACTAGGGTCCGTTTTCAACACAAGAACATAATGTTTGTTTTGACCAAAGTTACAAATACACACCAATTATTATAACACTTCGTGTTGTATACCAGTAAAAATACCCCAAAGTGCTGAAACTTGTTAGAAATTTGAAAACTAGGCTTCCTTTTCCACACAATAACAAAAATCTTAAAGAAATTTGCGTGGTAAATCCGTAAATACACCCCAAATTGTTGAAAATTGTTAGAAATTTGAAAACTAGGGGTCCGTTTTCCACACAAGAACACAAATATTATAACACTTAGTGTTGTATATCAGTAAATACACCCTAAATTGCTGAAAATTTTTTGAAATTTATAACTAGGGTTCGTTTTCCACACAATAACACAAATATTATAACACTTTGTGTGGTATATTAGTAAAACACCCCAAAATTGTTAGAAATTTGAAAACTACAGTCCCCATTTCCAGACAAGAACACAAATACTATAATGCTTAGTGTTGTATAGCAGTAAATACACCCTAAGTTGCTGAAAATTGTTAGAAATTTGAAAACTAAGGTCCATTTTCCACATTTTAACACAAACATTATACAACTTTGTGTGGCACATCAGTAAATACACCCCAAATTGCTGAAAATTGTTAGAAATGTGAAAACTAGGGTTAATTTTCCCCACAATAACACAAACATTATACAACCTTGTGTCCTATATCACCAAATACACCCCAAATTTCTGACAGTTGTTAGAAATTTGAAAACTAGGGTCCATTTTCCTTACAATAACACAAACATTATACAACTTTGTGTGGTATATCAGTGAATACACCCTAAATTGCTGAAAATTGTTTGAAATTTGATAACTAGGGTCCATTTCCCCACAAAACACAAATATTTTACAACCTTGTGTGGTATATCAGAAAATACACCCCAAATTGCTGAGAATTGTTAGAAATTTGAAAACTAGGGTCGGTTTTCCATACAATATCACAGATATTATAAAACTTTATGTGGTATATCAGTAAACATACCCAAATTGCTGAAAGGTGTTAGAAATTTAAAAACTAGGGTCCATTTTCCACACAATAACAAAAACGTTATACAAATTTGTGTGGTATATCAGTAAATACACCCCAAATTGCTGAAACTTGTCAGAAATTTGAAAACTAGAGTCCATTTTCCACACAATAACACAAACATTATACAACTTTGTGTGGTATATCAGTAAAAACACCCCAAATTGCTGAAAATTGTTAGAAATTTGAAAACTAGGGTGCGTTTTCCACACAAGAACAAAAATATTATAACACTTTGTGTTGTATATCAGTAAATACATCCCAAATTGCTGAAAATTGTTAGAAATTTGAAAACTAGGGCCCGTTTTCCAGACAATAACACAAATATTATAAAACTTTGTGTTGTATATTAGTAAATACACCATAAATTGCTGAAAATTGTTTGAAATTTCAAAAATAAAGTCCATTTTCCACAGAATAACACAAACATTGTACAACTTTGTGTGGTATATCAGTAAATACACCCCAAATTGCTGAAAATTGTTAAAAAATTTAAAACTAGGGTTATTTTTCCCCAGAATAACACAAACATTCTACAACTTTGTGTGCTATATCACTAAATACACCTCAAATTTCTGACAGTTGTTAGAATTTTGAAATCTAGGGACCGTTTTCCAGACAATAACATTTGTTGTGACCGAAGTTACAAATACACACCATATATAATAACACTTTGTGTCGTATATCAGTAAATACACCACAAATTGCTGAAAATTGTTAGAATTTTGAAAACTAGGGTCCATTTTCCACACAATAACACAAACACTATACAACTTTGTGTGGTATATCAGTAAATACACCGCAAATTGCTGAAAATAGTTAGAAATTTGAAAACTACGGTCCATTTTCCACACGATAACACAAATATTATAACACTTTGTGTTGTATATTAGTAAATACACCCCAAATTGCTGAGAATTGTTAGAAATTTGAAAACTAGAGTCAATTTTCCACACAAAAACACAAACATTATAACACTTTGTGTAGTATATCAGTACAACATGGTCTCTTCCTTGGATTTATAATAATTATAAAATTGTCTTCGCCTTCGATTTACAATTATGCTTAATTGTAGAGCACTGATTGCTCTCCCCAGCCTTATTCTCGGTGCGTGTGTGAGCCAAGGATAAAAGCAATATGGCGGAAAGCAAGAGTGGCCGAAAGAAGATATCGTTGGCTGAGCACATGGCTTGCCTGGCAGAAATGGTGCAAGAGAACAGCCAGAAGAAAAAGAAACCTGTTCAGGTTGTTTTCAAGAGACACCCATCTACAGGAATGCGGATCCACACGTCTAAATACAGACCTTGAAGAAAAAATATAAGACCTAAGGCTACGGCTACAGGAAAGCGACCAGCATGCCTGTCTCCTGAAAGAACATTGGAAGAACGCGAGTTGTCCGGTGTGTATTCACTTATTT